TAAATTGATTTATTATTTCCTTTTTGGAATATATCCCTTCTTTAAACAAATAAGTTCTTTTCCTTCTTTTTCAATCACAGTTACTCTTGTTATTGTTTCATACCCACATTCACTACAGATTTTTATATCTTTATCAAAAACTGTATAGCATGTATAACATCTTAATTTAAACTTCTTACTTCCAAAATTTTTGTCTTCATATAAATCTATTAACTTTAATGCTGCTTTAACACCGTTATCAGTTGTTAAACACAGTACTTTATTAATTTTATTAATATTTTCTTTGGTGATCCACTTCATAGAATCTTCTTCCATAAGTTCTATTGTAAGTGCAACAACTCCAATATCTGTTTCACTTAAATTCAAATGTCTTTCACTTATTATATTTTTCACTTCGTTTATTGAATCTGTTTGTGGATTTCTAAGTTTTATTTTAACTGTCATGAACTCAAAGAATTCTCTTGCAAAATTATCTTTAATTTCCTCGTATACACCATCTGTTATATATCCTTCATCTATTTCATCTAAATTAAGTTTTTGATGTATAAAATACCCGGTATCAATTACTGCTTTAACAACCATGAGGATAAAAAAAATTTTATTAAAAAGTTTTTTTTGAAAATTCAAACATCTTAATAAATTTTATAGTTTTTTAAATTAATTAATTATTAAAATTTCATCGAGTATAAATTTTATATTAAAACATAAAAGAAATTAAAAAAATTTAATTATAAAAGAAAAAATTTTAAATAAAATCATCATAAATAAAGATGTTAAGTTTATTAATAAACCAATTTAAACTAAACTCCAAAATCAATTTACACAACTACCTATACGAGCAGAACAAATTGGCATGGAAGTTTTTAAAACCCTTAAAGGGTTTTTAAATAATTATGACCAGTTATATGTAAAAATATTTATAAAATATTATTTAAAATTACTTTGTTGGTTTTTTTATATTTAAAATGATGTAAATTACAGCCATAAATTTATTTTAAATACAAGAAATTACAAAATGATTTAATCACATGTTTGATATTTCTTAAATGAAAATAACAATTAAATAATAAAATTACTTAAATTTATTAAATTTAAAACTGACTCTTGTTGTAAACCCATCTTTATAAACTTTAAAGAAATAAATTTGAAAAATTCTCATGGCTATATACTTCGATAAAAAATTTTACCTACTGAATATGAGTAATAAAGAC